ACCATGAGCTGGCTAACTTGGATCATAGTTAAGGCTTTGCAGGTGAGAGTATGTACGAATAATAAGCAAGCTACCCAGATATATACTTCCTCTTAAGACCTTGATCCAGTACAGACTTGAGATGTAATAAGGTAGTATTCTCCAACTGATAGTGTCTTTGAAGTAGAAATTAATACTTGGATTAGTTAAGGCTCCTTCAGTTTCGAATGACAGAGAACCCAGCTCAAACTGGCTAGCCAATAAAAGGGAATTTATTAGCTCATGCAGTCAAGTAGGCTATTGCTAGAACCACAGGGACTCAGGCAGCACTCTTGTTTCTCAGCTTTGCCTTCATGTATTGGCTCTGTTCTCTGTGCTGACGTGATAGTCCATCACAGAGCCAAACTTCCATCCAGTCTCTCAGGTGGTGACAGCAGAAGAGAACCTGGGAGGTCTCCTTAGGATTCATTACCTTTGATTGGATCACATCTCTCTCTCTGAATCAGTCTCTCTGGGCAGGGTATATAACATCATGGATTGTGCCATGTTGCCAAATCTGGGTGAGATTTAATGCCACTTACAGGTAGAGAGGGCAAGAGTGGGGTTACCTTGATGAAAATTAGTTATGCAAAATATAAATCTTTATCTTAACCCTGTCTTCTGCAGAAGTACCATATAAATACATATGGACTACTTTAAAAAAAAAAACATGGTTCTATACAAGGGTCTTGATATATTTTACCAATATTCAACGGATTATATTTAAGTTTGCTTGCAGTTTTTTCAGGATTACACATAATATTACAGTGACTGTCTTTGTCTATATGTCCTTGTGAATTTGGGAAAGTTTTATAGAGACTACATAGAATTTCTGGATCAAAGGTCATGCACATTTAAATTTTTATAAATTTGCCAAACTCTCTCAAGATTATAATTTTATCAACAGCATGTAAGACAATTTGTTTCCCCATGTTACTTCCTTCTCATTTTATCTTTGTTGTCTCTCCAGTTCCTGAAAAGTTTTGTGTTTTGTAAAATATATATAATACTCTTTATTTTGCATTAGAATCAGTGCACTTGGGAGTAGCTCAGTCGTAAGACTAATAAGTAGCTGATCTAGACTGGATATCTTTCAGATGACTAAGACTGAAAAATATTTCTTTCATTTTAGTTTGTTTTTTATTCCATCTTAATACTTGAAACCAATTTAATAGTCTGCTTTTCAGAAAATCAAATTATTTATGTCCAACTTTATTCGATAGAAATTAATGAAATAACTGATTACCCTCTGATTGTGACTCGAACTCTTCAGTATTTGTCAGTAACAGTAATTTATATTATGCTAGGTTAAAAAAAATGTTAAAGATGTATTTAATATGCTTATCGGTAGTACCAATATATAAAGTTGATGTAGAGATTTTAATGTATGTTAGTCTTCAGCTCATATCAGACTGATGCATAGTAAACAGCTATTCAACCATTGAAGTTGTAGTATTTGATAAATCTGCAAAAATTTTGCTGTATAAGCCAATAAAAATTTTACATTAAGAATAACTCATGCAGTAACTTCTATTCATTAAAGCTTGGAATAATTTAAATGGTGATGGAGTGAGTATATATTTAAGGCTGACTCATGATTTATCAAAAATATCTTATTTGAGAATGTCCTTTACTTTTTTTAGTTCTTTACTGATTTTTTTCTTAAGTTGGTCACTTTCATTAATAGTGATATTTGTTTATTCAGTTTTCAAGTTGCTATCAATGAATTCCTGCCAACATTATGTAATGCATGCTTGAAACTTTATTTTCCAAATGCTATTTTATTTAAGTTTATGGAAGATACTTTAATTAGATTTAAAAGTGAGATTTAAAAGTGGTTAAGTATCTTTTTTGATGAACTTGATTCACACAAAATAAAATAGCTTTAGGAGGTACTGGAACTTATTTTTTTCATACAGATGGCTTGTATCCCAATCCCAGCTTCTAGATAATGAAAGAGTGGTCCACAGATTTTATGAAGCCATTTAAAGCAGGAATTTTGTTTGTTTGTTTAGTCTCTCAGTTGTGTCTGATTCTTTGTACGACCCCACAGACTGTAGCCCACCAGGTTCCTCTGTCCATGGGATTTCCCAGGCAAGAATACTGGAGTGGGTTGTCATTTTCTTCTCCAGGGGATCTTCTCAACCCAAGGATCTAATTGGCGTCTCCTGCATTGTCAGGCAGATTCTTTACCGTTGAGCCACCTGGGAAGCCCTTAAAATAGGAATGGATATGTTACAAATTTACTTCCTCTGATTTAGGTGTTCCTCTTTTAATAAACTGCTCTAAAAATACCAATTTAAATCAGGGTATGAGAAATAATAGGCATGGGAAAACAATTTGGGATTATGAAAGTAACACTGATTCTTAACTGAACAGGAGTTAATAATCAGTAGTGTTACAGATTTGTCCACTGAAATTTATCTCTCCTCTCCTTGTTGTTGCATTGCGTTGTGTTCCTTCTGTCATGGCCCTCATCAGCGTCTACAGCGCAATGCATATAGCAATTCTGTTTCTCCTTTTTCCACAAAAGTGAGAGTCTGGAGAGCTAGTTCTTTCTGTTATTCATCTTTCTGTTCTGTTCAGGGCCCACCACATAGTAGGTATAAATGTTAAATTCAGCTGATCTTTGCAAAATAATATAGTGCAATAACTTGACAAGTCACTGTTTGACAATCCTTGGCCACTGCTTTTATATTTTCATTTTACTTCAGTGAATCAATTTTTACATAAAAAGATCCCATAGATGTGTTAATTTTGTTTACAGAGAAATGTTTTATATACTCTGAGGGTAATTACTGATAGTTTACCATCTGTTTCTATTTATCAGTATTTTCCATCTCCCTGTTCATTTGTTTGGCTGAGTCTTTTGTATGTGAGATTCTTTCTCCATTTAGCTTTTGATGTCTTTGAAATTTTAGTTTTTGATATTTAGGAAATGTACAGAATATTTTACGATGTTCTGCAAGTTATGTTTATGGTATAACTTGAATTTCAGTCCCATTCTTTAAAGGGAAATATGTGTTGTTGGTTAATTGGTAAGATGATACGTCTCTCTTAGATATGTTTGTAAAAACTCTTATTTTTGTTTTGCACTTTTTAAGAACGTTAGACTTTTCTAGGAACACAGTGCTTTTTTAGTGTTTATTTTCATTTTAATAGGAGTGGAGGAGGAGGACTAATGTTTGTTGAATGCTTACTATGCTCCAGTACTGTGATGAGCACGATATATCACTATTGTCATTAATTGCTTAATAACTCTGTCGAAGGTGATACTATTATAATTTACAGATGAAGAAGCTGAAGCAAAAAAAGAATATTTTCTTCCCCACAACTTGGTCTCTGTTTTATTTCTGATGTAACGTAGGACCCAGAAAACTATCTTATGTATATCATGGATTAGCAGAAAAGTCACTGGGATCTTTACCATGCCAATACGATCAGTTCTCTATCCTTTCACCCCACCTGTCATTGAACATCTACAAATTTGGAGGTAGATATTACTGAATATAAACACCCTTTTAAGTGTATAGCTAAATTTGCAGAATGGGAAGGTGATCTCATCAGTGCAATAAAATGAAGAAGTAGCTCTAAAAAATACAGCTGTCTCTTCATTTCTGTGAGAGGCTGGATCCCCTGAGATACCAAAATCCACAGAGGCTGAAGTCACGTATGTGAAATGGTGCAGTAGAGGAATACAGTCGGCCTTCTGCATCCACGGATTTCACTTTCACAGATCCAAGAGTGGTCCGTATATTAGAAACCCTTGGATCCGGAGGGCCAACTATAGTTTATTTCTTCTGAAACTGCTGGTATCCATGCTCTTTGCTTATTTTTATGGCCTTGTGATTGGTTTTAACAGCTTTGAGGGGACAGAAACAAGACTTTGGTTTGTTCAGGGTGAGAAATTAGAATCTTCAACATCTCAGCACTCACTCTTAAATCACCCAGGATTTAAAATTAAAAGTTTGATTTGAAACTATTAGGTAAAGGATTTTTTTAGTAAAAAAGAAAAAGAATAAAGGTGGCAAAGTGATGCTAAGACTGACATTTCTAGGAAAGTTAGATATTAGAGAAGTCACAACAGAAATAGTAGACCATGGATTCAAAAAAATTTCAAGGAATGATTGACCAGCAACTTCAAATCCTAGGGTGATATCACAGAAAAAGCACAAGAAGGCAAGTGATAAAAAGCCCCAGTTAAGAGTCAGCTGGGCTTTTTTGCCTTATTTGATATCTTAGGATTTTTCCAAGTTTAAGTCAATTTTGTAACACCTTCTCTATTTTTACAGTCACACATATCCAGATTATTAGTTACTTCATATTTTAGAGTAAACTTATGGTGTTATGCTTTTGATTTATTTTCAAGAGGAACCTCTGTATCACAATAAAATATGGAAACCCTTGACAGTGAAAGTCACTCAGTCATGCCCAACTCTTTGCAGCCCCATGGACTGTAGCCTGCCAGGTTCTTCTGTCCATAGGATTTTCCAGGCAAGGATACTGGAGTGGGTTGCCACTTACTTTTCCAGAGGATCTTCCTGACCCAGGGATTGAACCCAGGTCTCCTGCACTGCAGGCAGATTCCTTCCTGACTGAGCTACCAGGGAAGCCCTATGGAAACTCTTAAAATCTGCTGTAAATAGAAACTGTCTATAAAAACTCATAAAATTGAGGAAAGTTACAAGCTATGTCCTAAGGGTTGCTGAGGACATCATATACAGTCTTCCTCTTTATTTAAGAGGAGGAATTGGAAAAGATGGAAAAAGTAAATGCACTCTGTCTGAAGCGATTCTGTCTTATTTGTGTGTGTGATGGGTAGGATGGTTTTCAGTTCCAGCAACATTGTTGGATGAATGTGAAATGATCCCAGGAGGGAAGCGTGACTGTGTGTGTGTCTTGAGTGTTTTAACATTCATCATGTGAAAGATGCTGTTCTGAGCTTCCTATATTGAAAGATTTTTTGTTTTTTCTTTTTGAAGCTCTTTTAAGAGCCTGTGCTGATGGAGGTGCCAACCGTTTATATGATGTCACAGAAGGAGAGAGGGAGAGGTAAGCTTTCTTTCAGCCGTGTCTGTTACATCACTTCTGCTTCTGAGCTTGTTTTATTTTCTTCTTAGTAAATGGTGATTGTTCATTTTCCTTCAGATTCTTACAGAAAACCACCTCAGAGAGAGCGCAAGCTGCTTAACCATGTTGTATTAGTCTTTGTTTTGAGTGGTATCTATTAATAGCAATAGGCCAATCATACTCTTCTTAAAAAAATTCTATTTCAAAAGTCTTTTAAAATAACATTATAAAATATCAGTACATGTGAGGACTTTGGATATTGACTAAAATAATGGTAATTTGAGTTTTTATTCAAATAGTTTAAAGAATACAAATTGATCTTATATAAAATATGTATCCTGTTGTAGCAGGTGCAAGATTTTTATAATAGTATTGAATAAAACTCAGTATAATTTAACTTAGTTCTGAGCTGTGCTCACATGACTTTTAAGAGAGAAATAATTTTATTTCTTAATGATTTGTTACCTGTACACTCTGGTTTTCCTGATCTTGGCATGGTGAGCTGTTTATAGACATGGTGAGCTATTTTTAGATGTGAAAATATGTTTGATGAAAGCACAATTTAAATTTAGCTCACTGCCAACATGCGTCTAGTTCATCCTCTTTGCAAAGACAATTTATAGTCTAGATATAAGTAGACTAGCTATGAAATTTAGTTCCACTTCTATCATATGTTACCAAATGTACTAAAATATTTACAGTTTGAGAAATCACCTCCTTGCTGTAAAAAATCAAAGTATTATGATGCAGCATATCATAGGTATGAAATAAATACACATATTTTGAAATGATGTAAAATACATCTTTATGACATCAAAGTTTTTACTTCACATTTCTAATGGAGATGCTTTTTGAAAGCACATGGTTGCTTATAGAAGGAAGGCATGTTTTCTTTGAGATTGGACATGTGTAGATGTATAATAAAAAAATATAGCCACAGTGACAGCCTAGGAAGCAATTTAAATTCTTAACATGTTGTGCTTATTTATTTATTTTTTTTGATAAGAACTTTTAAGATTTATTTTCAACAGTTTTCAAACATGTAATGCTGCATTGTTAACTGTTGTCACAATGCTGTACCTTATCACACCCCCAGGACTTATCTCATAACTAGAAGTTTGTACTTTTTAAAAAACTTATTCTTTATTGAAGGATAATTGCTTTACAGCATTTTGCTGTTTTCTGTCAAACCTCAACATGAATCAGCCATAGGTATATGTATGTCCCCTCCCTCTTGACCCTCTCTCCCGTCTCCCTCCCCATCCCACCCCCCGAGGTTGATACAGAGCCTCTGTTTGAGTTTCCTGAGCCACACAGCAAAGTCCCGTTGGCTATCTGTTTTACATATGGAAGACGGTATGGAGATTCCTTAAAAAACTAAGAATAAAACCACCATATGACCCAGAAATCCCACTCCTAGGCATGTACCCTGAGGAAACCAAAATTGAAAGAGCCACATGTATCCTCTTGTTCATTGCAGCACTATTTACAATCGCTAGAACATGGAAGCAACCTAGATGTTCATCTACAGATGAATGGATAAAGAAGTTGTGATATATATACACAATGGACTATTACTCAGCCATGAAAAGGAATGCATTTGAGTCAGTTCTAGTAGGTGGATGAACCTAGAACCTATTATACAGAGTGAAGTGAGTCAGAAAGAGAAAGAGAAATACCGTATTCTAACTCATATATATGGAATCTAGAAAAGTGGTACTGAAGAATTTGTTTACAGGGCAACAATGGAGAAACAGACATAGAGTAGACTTGTGCTTCTTTATTTTTAAACTTTATGGATTCCTTTGACTGTATTTCCTACAACCTGACATGGGCAGGATGTGAAAAAGTACTCAAGTATGTGTTATAAGAAGTGTCTGGCCAGTTATTGCAATGAGGAGCATAATGGCTATGAGGGCAAGATTTGAGTAGGCGCTTTTTGTTTCTTACCTGTAGCCTCCTTGCTGACCAGCAATCTGGTACTGAGTGCCATTTCTCTAATGATGGGTGTAGCTTATGAATATAATTATGAAGCAGAGCTGTGAAACGAATTGGCACAGTACTTTTTAAGTCTTCCTTGATCATAAGAACCATCTAGAATATTTTGAAAAAACATAGATTTCTGTACTGATTACTTTAATTGGATTGAGCTGGACACTAGTAAGATAGATAACATCCAACATATTTACTCTCGTTTGAAAGTAACACACACCACCAATGTGGGAATGAGTGCCATTATTTTTGCCCAAATTTCAAAATAATCATTTCCAGTACTTCTGAACACATTTATAAGTAACCTTAAGGAACTCTTCCAAGAAGATTTATATGATTTACCTAACAACTATGTGTCCGTATGTGAAGATGTTTCAGAAGAAAATGTACTTGGTATTGATTTCCAAGTTATAGTAACGTGTTTGCTGTGGTGCACAGTCTGAAGCTTAGGGGCATGGTTGACAGGGGTGAGGGTGAAGTCCTTCAAGGGAGATGAGTGAGGCTAACTGCTTCATGTGGGAATTAAAGCCTTGGCATAAATCTCATTAAATCCAAACCCTAACCTGTTAAACTAATTGGACATAGGTGACTAAACATGGTTCTTATTATCTGTATTTTTAACAGAAAGGCTTTACAATGGAAAGAGAAGAAATTTTCATGAGTTTTGGAAAGCCCAGTTAGGGATGTGGACCACTTCTTCGCTTCTTCTTGATTTTTATTTATTCAGTGTCCTAATCTACAATGTAATACCTTATAATTATGCAATAAAGCATGAATATGTAGGGAATCATCTTTAATTGGAGAGAAAGTGGGATCTTTACACATTAGGAATGGAAAGAAGGAAGACCGATGTAGACAGTAGCAGAGGAGCAGGGTTTGCAGAAGGGTGGCGCTGAGGGAAATTCAGTGGTAACCTCACGTCTGATCCTGTCCTGAATGCATTCAGCCTTCTGCATCTTTCCCAAAGATTGGTCTTTGTGTCAACTTTGAAGGTCACTTCTCTCCATTTACAAGGTGTTTTTCTTTTAAATAAGCCCTAAATGTTTTTGTTTATTGTTGAAAGCAATGCGTGATGATTTGAGTGTGTGTTAGTGAGTTGGGAGAAACAGAAGAAAATAAAAATTACCTGTTAAGTCTTCCTACATAGCAAAGAGTTACATTGAGTTCTGCCATTGGACTTCAGAAAATATGACTTAATTTTTCTTGTTCAGGTGAATGTAACCTCAATGAATGTAAATTCCCTTGTGCCTAGAAAATTTCCTGAGAGTATTAGATACCCGAAAAATATTTGTTAACGAATGTTTAGTTACAGTTGTTCTATTCTCTGTTCCTAAGGTTCTGAGTAACTTTGACTGATGGCCTGTGTATTTTGGGTAACGACATTGCCTCTGCTCTGAGAGCTGATAGGTTCTGATTTGGGGGTGTGTTCAGTCTGTGTATCAGACCGAGGAGGATGGAGATCCAGTCAGGGAGATACAGAATGGGCACCGCCAGTGATAGCTGGATCGGAGCAGTGGTTGTAGACTTGAGATGAAAGAGGAAGGAATTTTATGAAGACTCAGTCTTTGTACAGTGAGACTCCTATACTCTTAACTGACTGTTTCCCTCAGCCTGTTTTTGGAAATGTGGAGTAGTAAGTTTGGGTAAGATGTGTGGACTGATACCTCTAGGTCTAAAGCTGCAGCCTGATGCTGACTCCGGCCTCGCATTTATGTACTGGTAGTGGTCTGCGGAAAGGAAAGTCCTTGGCAGCCTCACAACATGTGCCTCCTGTCTTCTCTCAAGTAGGTAGAATCCTGGTCAGAATCCATATGGTGAAGCCTGGCCCCATGGTCAGAATAGTCACAGGACACAGGGATGGGGGGGAAAATACAAGAGAAGCAGGGTAGGATTCGCTAGGAAGATTTTGTGAAGCAGGTTTTTTCTTGCTTATCATTGATAGGCATTGGAGGTTTGTTTCATTTTTGTATTGGTGATTAGATCAGAAAAGTGTATTAGATCAGAAAAGTGTAAATTGTCCACATTGAAGAATATTGCAGTTATTGTTCACTTGTACTAGTAAATGATAGTGATGATGGGAGGGTTATGCTCATGTATTTTGTCCACATTGAAGACAATGTGGGTTATGCTCTCCCTGTACCCCCAGCGCTCTCCCCTCACACCACAGTTACTCCTTTTTTACATCTTTAACAGATACTCTCAGAGAACAGTTGCTGCTCCAATCAGTATCTAACCAGGGTCTGAAAAGTAGTCAACTATGACTGTAATTGCCAGCATTGCCCACCCTGTGTGTGTGCATGGGTGCTAGGTTGCTTCAGTCGTGTCTGACCCTTTGCGACCCCCGTAGACTGTAGCCCGCCAGGCTCCTCTGTCCATGGGATTCTCCAGGCAAGAACACTGGAGTGGGTTGCCATTTCCTTCTCCAGGGGATCTTCCCCACCCAGGGATGGAACCCACATCTCTTACGTCCCCTGCCTTTACTGCTAGTGCCACCTGGGAAGCACATAATAAATATTAAAAACAAGCATACAGACACACAGAGAAATGCACAAGTATAATGATAAGACTCAATGAATTTCCACAAAGAAGGGTGCAGTAATGTAAACAGCACTGAGACCAGCCAGAGTAGTGTCCCAGCACTGGGCTGCCTTCCTCGTGTTCCCCACTATTGCCAACCTGCCCTCAGAGGAAACCACTGCCTGACCTAGTGAATGTTAGATTTATTTTTTTCTACTTTTGGGTTTCATAAAATAAAGTCATAATACATTGAATTATTAGTAGATGGACATTTTTTGGGATAAAGACTCCTCAGCTCTCTGAATCTGAAAAAAAAATTGAAGAAACATTACTGGAGGTGCTTATAGGAGAATTACAGTCACACTAATTACTTTAGGAGATGAAGAGAGTTATGGAATCAAGTAGAAGAGAAAATAAGAACTATACAGAGACAAAATCTATGGTACAACATAAGTAGTGTGACAGTATGGGAG